AGTTCTTCCTGTTGCTTCCTGTGAAAGCATATTCTTCATCCTATGCTATAAGCACAAGTTTACTTCTTTTATAACTCATGTTCTGTATTAGTCTGTAAAACATGTGACATTGTGAGACTGTGAGAATTGTTTATGACCTATGTCTTAATGGTTATTTCAATTGAAATGATTATTGGAACTGCAATCACAATATCATTCTTGTTTCTACATGACTTAGACAAGAATTGTTTCCTTGCAGAAAACAGGAACATTCTCAGACTAACTTGAGCTCAAAATTGGGGCATTTAATGCAAGACTATATGGGTATGTTATACACTATATAACCAAGGAGACTAGCTTAGCTCCGTAAGGAACTCGACTGACATCTGGATAGTTGGGAATTGATTTCATTCTGTCTGTTCTTCTGTGCTTCTTGCAGTATGTCTGCACCATTCTCCAGCTTCTGCAGTCCCACATTTTCTGCTCTTGTGTGCACATGGCAGAAAACAACAATCTTATCTCCAATATACATGACCTTCAGATCAAGTGTCCAAGCCTCAGAACTTAATCTTGGTACCTCCACTTTAAACTTTCTCCCATATCTGATTGCCTTGGCCTGGCCTATGACTGACTTTCTTTGGTGTTACAGCCTACTCTTAGTCCAGTGATTTGGAGCTGGAGAGAAAAGGGTCATTGGATACCAACCAACAGACTGTGGAAAATAGTTTTTATAAGAAGGGTGTGAGGGCAGAGTGGGAATGGTTTGGCATTTCCACATTAGAACTGCCATCCTCTACTCTGTTTATTTTTGTTTTTATTTTACTTTCCCCACAATCACATTAAGTAGTTCCAGCCAAACACAATCTTATACTTTTTGTAAGATACACTCTCATCTTAGACTTGTTTTTCATTACAATTTTTTGTGTGAATATAATCAATTTATTTATTTATTTGACACATAATTGTATATATTCATGGGGTACAATGTGATGTTTTGATACATGTATATAGTGTGTAATGATCAAATCATGGTAATTAGATTATTCAGTGCCTTAAACATTTCTTATTTCTTTATTGTGAGAGCATTCAAAGTCCTATCTTCTAGCTTTTTGAAATATACAATGCATTTTTATTAGCTATAGTCATTCTACTCCACAAATAGAGCACCAGAACTTACTCCTCCTAACTGTAACATTCTTCCCATTGACCAACCTCTTCCCATCTCCATTCCCCACATTCTCCCCAGTCTCTGATAACCACTATTCTACTCTCAATTTCTATGAGATCAAGTATTTTAGATTCCATGTATGGGTGAGATTGTGTAATATGTGTCTTAATGTGCCTAGCTTATTTCACTTGGAAAACTGGACATCAACATGCAAAAGAATGAAATTTGGCCCCTATTTCTTAGCATATGTAAAAATCAACTCAAAATAGATTAAAGATTTAAATGTAAGACCCAAAACTATGAAACCACTAGAAGAAAATCCTAGGAGAATTACATGACATCAGTCTAGGCAAGAGTGTTTTTACACTAGACCTCAAAAGCATGAGCAACAAAAGCAAAAATAAACAAATAGGACTACATCAAACCGAAAAGCTTCTTCACAGCAAAGGAAACAAATCAGTAAAGTGAACAGACAGCCTGCAGAATAGAGGAAAATGTTGATGAATTATACACCTGACAAGGGGTTAACTATCTAGAATTTGTAAGGAACTCAGCCCATTAGTAAAAAGCACAATCTGATTTAAAAATGGACAAAATACTTGAGTAGACATTTCTCCAAAGAAGGCATGCAAAGGGCCAGCAGGTACCTGAAAAAATGCTCAACATCATTGTATTAGTCTATTCTCATGCAGCTAGTAAAGACATACCAGAGACTGGGTAATTTATAAAGAAAAAGAGATTTAATTGAATCACAGTTCCATGTTGCTGGGGAGGTCTCAGAATGATGGCAAAAGACAAAGGAAGAACAAAGTGATATTTCACATGGCAGCAGGCAGGAGAGTGTATGCAGGGGAGCTCCCATTTATGAAACCATGAGATCTCTTGAGACGTATTCACTGTCATGAGAACAGCACAGGAAAGACCCACCCTCATGATTCTATTACCTCCCACTGGGCCCCTCCCACAACACATGGGAATTATGGGAGCTACAATTCAAGATTTGGGTGGGGACACAGCCAAACCATATCCGTCACTAACCATCAGAAAAATGCAAATCAAAACCACAATGAGATATCATATTACCCCAGTTAGAATGGCTACTAGTCAAAAAGGTAAAAGATATTGCATACTGGTGAGGCTGTGGAGAAAGGGAAACCCTTATATGTTGTGGGTGGGAATGTAAATCAGTACAGCCATTATGGAAAACAGTATGGAAGTTCCTAAAAAAATTAAAAATAGATCTACCATATGATTCAGCAATCCCACTACTAGGTATACATCCAAAGAAAATGAAATTAGAATATCAAACAGACATCTGTATTCCCATGTTTATTACAGTACTATTCAAAAACAAAGATACAGAATCAACCTAAATGCCCATCAATGAAGAACGGATAAAAAGAAAGGTGGTATATATACACAGTGGAATACCATTTAGCTATAAAAAGGGATGAGATACTGTCATGTGCAACAACATGTATGAGCCTGGAGGACATTGCATTAAGTGAAATAAGTCATTCCAATGTTGGGGAGGGGGTTTGTTTTTGTTTTTGTTTTGAGACATGGTCTTGCTCTGTTGCCTAGGCTGGAGTCCAGTGGTGTTACCATAGCTCACTGCAGCCTCAACCACCTGGGCTCAAGGGATCCTCCTACCTCAGCTTCCTGAGTAGCTAGGACTACAGGCGCCCATGACCATGCCTGGTTAATTTCATTCCAGTATCTAAAATCATGATGTAGAACTTAAATTTCATTTATTAATGTCTCCCATATTCTCCTTTTTCCTAAAGTGAATCAATAAAATTATCCCCTATTTTCTAAAATGTATCAGTTTTCCCTTAATGATATTATTCCCAAAGATACTTCCTCAGTCTCCCTGCAGGTATCAGCATGACTGGGTAGCAGTCCTGGGCATATGCCTGAGAAAGATAACACTATTAGCCCTCCTTGGTTTATTGTGGTTGCTTTAGGTTCTACAACAAGGAGTTACCATCACCAAGATATACCAACATCCCTCCCATGGTAAGTATTTGGTATTCTTGACCTACTAGGACTGTTCAATTCCTTTCCAGCATTTTTTTCTGCCTCATGGAAGGTGTGGCCACTTCCCATTGCCCCTTCAGCAGGAATCACATCTGTAATGGGTGTCTCCAGTGGGCCAGCATGTTCTTTTTCTTTGTTACCTTCCTACACTCTTAATTTTATGAATCGAATTTTGATTCTCCTCTCTTCGGATTGTTTAGTTGAGCTTAGGATGAAGCCACTTTTCTAGAGGGTCTGAATGTACCTTTTAGGGAGGAAGGCTTCTACCTATTATGTATTTTTAGTCCAATAGAGTGTTTTTACTTTTGCTTTATTTTGCCTTTTCATTCATCTCTCTCTTTACCATTGGATCAAGTTTTGGCCCTCTACTTTTAAAGTCAGGATCTTGTACTTTACAATTTTTCTCTTATATTATTGGGATTACTTATACTTTTTTGGCCTCAGATGCTCTCTCAGAGGCCAGATAATTGTTTTTCAGGCCTCCTTATATTTGCAGGCATGTTAGTTAGCTAGATTACATTCAACGTAGTTTATGCTTGCGTCTGACAGGAAAACCAACTTAGCTTTTCCTCTGTTTGTCATTGAACTAGTGCCATGAATTTTGATTGGTATAGAGATAACAAGATCGATAGCCTCAGAGGTGAGATGGACCTCTATGATACTAGGCAAGTCAATAAAACTCTGTAGGCCTCAGTTTCCTTGTCAGTAAAATGGGGATAATAACAGTTCCTACTACATAGAATTGTTATGAAAATTAAATAAGAATGTAATTAATTCTGAATTAATATGGGTTGAATATTTATTACATAGTAAGTGTTCAGTAAGTGCCTAGCTTTAATTATTGTGATTACTTTTTCTAGGTTGTAAGCTTCTTGAAACTGTGAACAATGCATATGTCAAATGTTATCAAGCAGCTAGTACTTAACACAAGTTTATTATTATCCATTTATGTGATAGTTACATTTAGTGATAAGGATGCCAGAAAAAGAAACACATTGAAATTAAGATTATTGCATTTGGCTGGGTGCAGTGGCTCATTCCTGTAATCCCAGCACTTTGGGAGGCCAACGTGGGAGGATTGCTTGAGCCCAGGAGTTCAAGACCAGCCTGGGCAACAAAGCAAGACCTCATCTCTATTATAAATATATAAAAAAAGGCCTATTGCATTTGATTCTGGTTTCATTATGTTACACTTCTTTACTTCCTTCAAGTTGATGAGTTACACTTGTGCAGTTTTTCCTCTCCTAATGTGATTTTAACATTTTTCTTGAAAAATATTACTCATTTCTGAAAGTTTTGTCTTTTTTTTTTTTTTTTTTTTTGCTGGAATTCAAACCCAAATTCCACCAGTATTTTTAAGTGTCGTCTATGTGCCTGGCTCTGTGCTAGGTGCTTGATATACCTAGCTGTTATCTCCCTTTCATAGATGAAACAAAAACAAGGTTCAGAGAATCCAAGTGAATGGCTCAACATCATACAATTAGTAAGTAGCAGCTGAAAGAATGACAAATAATTCTTAACCATAAACCAGGGAGAGAGAACTTCAGAAGCAATATGACCAAATCATATACAAGAATATGCAGAAAGAGCTGTTTGTTTTCCTTCATAAACAGGGTGGGGAAGAGATCAGGGAAGTCTTTGTGAAGGAGATGAAATTCAATCTACTAGGTGGCCAGTCAATCAATAAATAATTGTAGTTGACTAATGTGGAAACATATTGTTCCTTTTATTTCCTCTGTTCTCAGTTATGTATAGTAGGTTTATGTTTATGGTATATAAGTGCAAAGTAAATAAATTACTATTAAATAAAAGATTAAATGGTAAACATGAGAGAAAAGTGTTCTATTTTGTGATATGCAGGTTATGAGTATATAAACAGGCTTTTAAAATATAAAGAAGGAATAATGGAAGAAGACCCATTGTCAAGGTTTTCAATGACAGTGCATGCGTCCTTTCACCAAGTTTAATTACAGCTTTCATAATATAATACTAATCCTTGAAATGCTTGGTAAATATGCCAATTCTGGGTGCAAATGAATCCTCCACTTCTGAAGGCTTGGTGTGGACTCCGATTTAGGTCTCCAATGCATGTCCAGTGATTTTTGGTGCCCTTTTGGGAAATACACCACTTGGCATGATCCTGATAAGAACTGAAATAACAGTGTCGTGATAACTTAATTGCTTTGATATTATAGACATGGTAAGGAAAGGAGCAGTTTGAAGGAAGCTCTTGTCTTTTTCGCTGCCAGGTTTCTGTTAACAAGTGTGTCTTCAGCCGTTGAGCCATCCAGGCTGCAAAGATGTCTAGGGTTTAGGAGGAGAAAGATAGTGAGGTTGGTATTTACACTTAGATTAGTCCCTGAAAATATATTCTGGAATGGAAATCATCATTCCCCCCTGATATGTGGGTGTCACAAGCACAATAATAACAACACAATTGAGATAGTGGTAGAGAAAACATTTTGTAAATGCTGAAGTGATGTGCAAATGAAAGTTATAATCATCATTACTACAATGATGCTGGTGTTTGCAAACATCTTCTGTTCTATAAAACAAATTAAGCAATATAAGTCTTTGTTCTGGAAAGACCTTTGGAAAAAATTAGGCTAGAGAAGGAATCAGGGCCAGTTTCTAGGGATCTTTGTAAATCATGCCAAAATGTTTGGATTTTCCTGAAATCAATGGAGAGTTTTTAAAGAAATATTAGTAAAGAATTAATAGAAACTGGTTTATGATCATAAGTATCAGTTGAGAGGCAATGGGCAGGATGAATTGGGAAGGATGGATTAGAAACAAGAAAGGAAAAATATAAGGTTGTCACAATAACTGTGTCAATAAACACAGGTGTGACCCATGGCAGTGGCAGAGAGTTTGGAGAAGATACAATAAATGTGAGAGTTATTAAGGATCTGGAACTGACTGAATTTGATGGTTTGATAGAGGAGTGAGAAAAAGAAGAGACGGAGAATGACTATGTAGAAAAGGAAGAGATGGAGAGTGACTATGTAGACTAAAAGAAGAGATGGTTAACTATGTAAAATACAAGAAAAGGTAGGTTTGTGGGGGATGATGATAGGTGAGTTTGGCATGTTGAACTTCATGTGGCTGTACCACCTTCAAGTAGAAATATCCCACATGCTGTTAAATAACTCAGTCAGTATAGAGGTCTAGGGTAGAGATCTAGACTTAAGAATCATTTGAGGGCTTGCTGGAATTGCCCAGCATGGGTATGTAGAATGAGATAAAGAAAGATGGGGGCCACATGGCAACTCAGTCACCTAAAGAGTAGTCAGAGGAAGACCTGGCATAAGAAACTTAGAAGTGGGAGGACGACTGGGGGTTGTGTATTCCCTAAAACTAGTGAAGGTGAGAGTTTCAAAACGGAAAGAATTTCAACAGTGCCACATTCTGCAAACAGTATCTCTGTCCTTTCAAGTTTGAGATCTCTAGTGCCTAACACAGGGCTTGGCTAGTAGTAGGCATTCAGTAAATTTTATTCAATATATGAAGGAAGGAAGCAAATAAGTAAGGAAAACAGTGAGGTCATCTAAGACAGCCATTGGTGCTTGGGGAGAGATTCAAGTGTCTACGGACAGAAGTAAGACTGCAGTGAAGGAACATTGAGCAACTGAAGGCCCTGATGAGTTTTTAAAAAAATCAATCTGAAAGAAAAGGAAAAATAGAGCTATAGATGCTTTAGAGTTGAGGGAGTGTTTTTAGGCATGTTCGTATGTTATGAGGAAGGAGCCTGGTAGTGGGAAAGCTAAAATGGAACAGGGAGAACAGACCTGGTATGCTGAGGCTGGGATAAGTTTCAGAGCACAGGGGGTGCATCGCTTCTTTGAGGATGGGGGGAAACCTTGCAGAAAGGAAGGAGAGCAGATAAGATTGTTGAAGAGGTGGGGGTGCCATATTGAAGTGGTTTCTCCCTAAGTGATTTTTGTTCTATTTCTGAAGGAGAAAAGGAAGCTGTAAGTGAGGGGGCAGAGTAGTATAAAGGGCTTGAGAGTAAGGAAGGCTTAAAATAACTGCTCAGGGAATGGAAGAAATGGAGATAGCTATGGCCTCATGCCGAGCAGAGGCTGGAGAATGTGAGTTTTCACTGGCCCTTGGCTGGATGATTGTGAGATACTTTTGTGGTTGGCTCAGTAACCTGGCTATTCAAATGTAACAGGCTAATGTTGAAACTCATCCTTGACTTTCCTTTTTCCTTTCCTCTTTGCTTCCTTTTTTCATCTCTCTTTCCTTGAATACTCAGAATATTTCTCTAAGCTATCCCTAATGAGTTCAACAGCAGAGTTATATAGCCTGTTGTTTGAGGATGGTCTTTCATACCGTCAAGAAAAGAATCAGACTTTGCAAAATGGAGGAATTTTTGTCTCTGGGCTGACTGAAGTGTGGTGAGGAGCCTGCCGGGACTCTCTGATGAGCTGGCCCTGGTACACAGCTGGGGCATGTGAACGAGCTCCTGGTGAAAGGTGGCCGGAATGAAACAGCTATAGACATTTGGATTGCAGACCAAGAGCTGAGAATCTGAATCAAGAAACAATAAAAAAAAGTTGAGAATTAAGACACAAATGGAAATGCCTGCTGATATTATAGATCTTGTTGTGGATTAAAAAACAAAACAACACAAAAACAAAGGAATTTCTTTCTTTAAACCAATAGCCTTCAAATAACTTTTGGTTAAAATAACTGACACCTGTTAAGCACTTCTTAGTTTCTAGACATGGTTCTACAAGTTTTACATGGGTTTACTCATTTAATCCTCACAGCAACCATATTATCAAGTAAATCCTGTTGTTATCATTATCTTTACTTTGTAGATGAATTAACTGAAAATTTACATCATATACCCAAAATTATAAAGTTTGTAATTGATAAAATTGATATTCAAACCCAGGTAATCTAGCCTTGTAGACCATATATTTTTTCTTCTAAATGTACATATACATATACAAAAGCTGAGAATTCCATGTACCAATGCAACAGCTTCAAGAATAATCAGCTCCTCAGTGTGTATGCCTAATCTCTGTGATATTCAGCTCTCTAATCATTATATGATTTCAGTTAGTGAGACTAGAGCTTGACTTGGGTGAGGAGCTCAGTGATCCTTGCTGTAAGATGGAAATTTGATAAAAAATATTTTCTAAACCTCCTATATCTATAGGCAAGTTGCTTCTCACTACTATTTAGCTACTAACCTGTTCCTACTTCTCCTTTCCCACCACAGTTTGCCAAATCTAAGTATTTTTGGCTGAGCTTGAAATCTTAAAGGAAGATTATCTGGCTCAGAAGTGTCATGTTGGTAGCCTACAAGGAACATGTGGCCGGGAAAACTTAAAAAAAATAAGATTGAGCTCATATTTAGAAATCAGTTTTCGTCTCTCTCTTTCTCTCTCTCTCTCTCTCTCTCTCTCTCTCTCTCACACACACACACACACACACACACACACACAAACACAGACACACACATACACCCTAGGTTTCTGGTACTTCATGAGAAATATGGAGATCTATAATCATTGGACTTGTATTTCTGTAGAGCCACAGCATGATGGAGCTGAGGCTTTGAGGGAAGCTAGGCGAGAATCAACACCTTAGTTTGTCACTATCCCCACTTCTCACGTAACATCTGTCTGTTTCACTCATATATGTTATCTACCAGCCACCTGAATACATTTGAAACTACTGCCCTGATCAAGTTCAGCAACTGCAGTGGTAGATTAAGAGCCAAAGCCCAGTAAGTGAGCCTGCCCAAGACTTCACCATGGCAAAGCCAGCATTAGGAATCTAGGTATCAGAGTATGAATAGATTAACAAATGAAGTGACACATTTATGAATATTATTTCCAAATGCTTTCTCCAACATTGTTATCTCTTTTTTTTTCTCACATACTCTAGTTTTACCTATTGCCTTATACTGGTTGTACTTGAAAGTTATGCAGATGCCACTTTGTCCATTTCGTCTCCCTGTGGGTGGATAATCATAGCCTTCTTCCGGAATTGGAGGAAACTGAGGAATAGAATGAATCAGCCAGAACCCTTGGACTCTGTTCCACAGCAGTAAACCTACCAAAGATACATTTAACAAAGATAAATCAGAAAAACAAAGTTTCTTTTAAAATAGGGTTCAAAGTGGCAACATTTAAGCCCACTTGCGCTTCAGGCTGGTGTTTTATTAAGCTAATAATCACAAGGATCATGCTTATTTTTCAAAGATTTCAAATACAATTCTGGCACTTATCACATTGCCTGATTACTGATAAAAAGCCATCACAAAAAGGGAACCAAGGTAGCCATCCTATGAAAAGTTAAGAGGAAATTCATGTTGAAATCACAAGGAAAATTTGTTTTGGCAGAATACAAATTTGCTAAATTGGAATTTGACCTTGTTAAACTATACAGTCACCTGGCAAGATTTAGATAGTGTCTTCACTGCTAAGCAGCTAGGCTGTTTTCAAAAGCCAACTAAAAAACAGAGTTGAAAGAGAAAATATCAAAGGAAGAAATGTACTTGCAATAATTTGTTAGAAGAAACTGCTGCCCATTTATTGGCAGAAGAGTCACCATTTCTACAAGCCCAATAAAAGAAGCAAAGAGAGAGAGAAAAAAGGAAGCTACGCTAAAGCATCCTAGTTAATAACATTTGTAAAATCTCTAGAGCAAAATAAATAATATGAAAGCCAATAAGGAAGAAAATAGAAATATTTTTATAATTTTGTGACATGGCAAAAAGAACTCTGTAAAACAGATGTCTATGACTATTTCTGTGTTTATAAATTGATCAGGATAGGTTTGGTATGATAGCTAGACTTTCCAGTTTGCACGTGACTATGCAAACATAAGATTCACTCATGTTTTCCTAATTGTTAGAGTAAAAACCAAATGCCTTCTAGTTTTTTTTTTTTTTTTTTTTTTTTTTTTTAGAGCATATTTTAAGAAAGCATACTGTTGTTCTTTGGGTGGAAATAGAATCAATACCTGTGTCAAGGTGGACAATATTGAAAGTTTTGTTATGTAACAGAACTGGATGACCTTCAAGAGTTCTCCTCTGTGCAGAAAAATGTGTCAATTTGCTGGAATCCTATCCTCCTGGTACGAATGCCATAGGATATTAGGGCATCTGTTGGCCAAGAGAGCCTTTCCACTTGATCTTGCGCCCTCCTGCCCTTTACAGAGATTTCCCCAAACGCTTATGGCAGCTAGCAGGGTAGAGTAGAAATACTGTGGGAGATTGTTGGAGGAGAAGTTGAAGAATGTAGCATGTTATGAAAATTGTTGGGTTCCCTGTAAATATGGCATTCAGGAGAGCAACTTTGCTAAATAAAAAGTTTTCAATGTTCCTGACCTTTTTCAGCCATTACAAACTGTATTCTAAATCAGAGGCTGCAAACTGGCATCCCCTGAGCCAAATCCAGCCTATGAATACATTTTATTAGGCTTGCAGAATGTTTTTCAAACTTTGAATTTAGTGCCAACATTTAAAAACTGGGGAGATTTCCCACAAATATTAATTTACAACATCTCCTGGAAAATTGTGTCCCTATCAGGCAAGTTGAGTAGTAACCGCCTCCTTTCACTTGCTGACATCATTTGCCTGCTCCCTGAAGGCATTTGAATTTGGAACCTTCTGAATACTTGTTGCCATGGAAAGTTATTTATGACATATTAAATTGGAATAAGGTTGAAAAATAGTCATTACAGTAGTTTTGTAAAAATATTTTAAAATACGTATTTTAGAAAAAGCGGAGAGGATTAAATATGGTTTATCTAATTGGTATAAGGATTGTAGATTTTTTGTTTACCTGTATTTTGAATTTTTCTATAGTGTACAAACACATGTGCAAAGTTTATAAGTAGAAAAATTGTAAAAGTATAATTACTTTATATGGTAATTAAAATTACTATATATGGTAATATAAATAACATGATAAAAATTAATTAATATAAAACTATTTAAAACAGTTTTTAAAAAATGTTTATTTCCAAGGAAACTATGTATTAAGAAGAGTTCATTTTACTCTGTATAAATTATACCTCAATAACTCTGACTAAAATGTTTTTGTACATATATGCTATATGCACATATACATATATACAAATATATACATATATGTGTGTATGTATATGTATATATGTGTATGTATACCTATATATGCGTATATGTATCTACGTAGATACATATATGTATATGTATATACATATGCACATATACATATGTATATATACATATGTATATGTGCATATGTATATATAAATTGCTGGTGTTTGTGTGTCCTCAGTATCAGCACCTGGATTCCTGCTGCAAAGCATATATTTTAAAATATGTTAAGAAATAAAATGGGATTTCTAAAAATGAGGTTGCCAAGTCAAATCATACAATTATATTATAAGCTGTGATATAGAAATTATACATTTCAATGACTCAAATAAACTATTAAGAAGAAAAGCTATCTATTCAGTATGGAATATAAGAATATTCAAGATGAAATGTTTAACAAAATGTTAATGTCCAATAGGAAAAGAAACCAAGAATCGTTGTCATACCTTTGGTGTGTCCATACTTCCTGCTGTAATTCACAGATTTAGGGACTCCATCATTGTATATTAGATAGGCTGTGTTGTTACTCTGCAGGAATATATTAGGGTTATAATGGCATAAATCTTCCACTTACAAACTCTCACAACGTTTCTACCAGCTACCCAGCCTGCAATACATTGCTTTCATTAATACACTGAGAAGTCATCTATTCCCCTAATAGGCAGCTTCCCCATCAATATGAAGCCTGTGACATGTAAGACAGGGGAAAGGAAGTTCATTTTTAACTATGCATGATTTTTACTCATGTGACAGGATCCCTATGCATTGTGATCTGTGTGTGAGGGCAATGTTCCTATTTCTCTTGGTTATTTTGGAACCGAGTTTCTGATTAAGCAACCAGTGTATAATGAAGGAGTACTGAATTATTTGTTCAGGAAATGAAGTAGGAACAACCAACCAAGGATTGCATCTGAGGTTTTTTCCATTGATATCATAGGCACAGTGCAGAACTGGCTGTCAGGATCTGATTTCCTCTGCCCACTTTGTGCTTCGCTTCACTGCTGGATAGTAGCTTTGTGTTTAATCAGGATTCCTCATTATCTGCTCTCCCTTCCTCTCATTATGGGAGGATTTTTCTGCAATCCATTTTTCAGTGTCACTTCACCTTTCCAACTTGATATTTCCCTGCTTTAAAAAGTGGTGAAATTTACCGTGTGATATTGGATTTCCTCTGTTGAGGCAAAATATGAGTCAATTTTCAAACAGCCAAATCTTAGAGCCAAAATAAAGCTATTATTTCAATAGTCTCTATTTGTCATGTTTTAGAAACTTGCTAATATTTGTTCTGGATGGTTCCATTTAATTTGTGTGATGATACAATGGCTTTTATTGAAGCCAGTAATGTCTATATTAAAAAAATCTCAGTGACATAATTAAAAGCAGGAAAGGATAACCTATCTCCTTTAAAAAGGCCCTTGCTTTTTTCTTTGAAAACAAAGTCAATAAAGAAGTCTCACAGTTGCTTGATTATTTGATGTAGTACAAAAATAATGTTAAATGCGCAACATAGTCTGTTGTAGCATTCTTGTCTACTGTGTTTAGGAATACCCTGAAAAGTAAGCTGTTTTCTTACCTTCATTTATCATAACTGATCATAGCTACTCAATGGCATTCATATCATCCTCTGGATAACCCTGAAGAGTTAGTTACTCTATGAGCGGGCATTGAATGTGGTAATGAGGACATTTGTGCACCTTTGGGGTACAACATGGAGGGATTCTGGGATGATCCAGTGAGGAATTTATTCTTTATGATAAATGAAGTTTATTATTCTAACTGCGTGTAGCAACCAGTTGAGGTTAAGTGGGTTGTAGCCTTAGTGCGAAGAGAGGCTATTGATAAAGGGAAAGGACCATGGACTTAAGAATAGGTAGATGTAGGCATGTGCCTTTGAATAGCTTTATTCGTTTAACACATGTTTGGTATTGTTTTGACTATTGAGTATAGAACAAGAGGGGTGCAGTCTTTGCCTCCTGTCTAGCAGGAAATATAGAGGGACAGGTATAAGCAATATCGTTTGATAAATGTTTATGAAGGTGCATGGAAGATTCTTATTTTTAAAGGCAAGAGAAGGGAAACAATTCCAAATGTAACCCAACTCTTGGACTTGGTCACCTTGACATTTGAGATTTAAAACCAGTTCGTCTAATCTTGCATTTCACTCTCTGTGAGAAGTTCAGTTCCAGTTACAGGGTGGCGGAGTAATATTCTCACAGTCAGTTGTGGCACATAATTCTAGCTTCCAAAGAACATGGAGTCTCACTTGGATATCACCCACTGCTGCTGCTCTCTTCTTTTGGCTCTATGCCAATCAGGTGTGGAAATCATTCCCTTTACTGTCATTTCCCCCCCAGAACCAATCACTCAAGACATTGCATGTGAGCAGGTTTTACTAAAGATAAGAAATATTGAATGGTTTTACATCACCATGAGGCCTTACCCCAGTCTCTCTTCATGTTTCTCGTGCTTTTTAATTCACAGTTTCTTTCCATCCCTTTTTTGTTTAGCAGAGAAGTTTAACTACATCTCCCTGCTAGGGTGTGGGGCTACCTTTGCACCTCCAAAGATCATTATTGTATTCAGCCAAGCAAAGAGCTGTCTACTCCAACTAAGGTAATGACAGAGGCTTTACAGTGTCACTCTTTCCTTCTTCCTCCCCTAGCAGTCTCGGCATTTTTAGAGAAATTAAAAAGCAAATAGAGAAAAGTCATTATGTATTTTCATATGAAAGTTACACTGAGTGTGTCTGCCTTTCTTGCTTCCCCTTCTACCTTCCCCACCTCTTCCGTCTCTGCCACCCCAAAACAGCAAGACCAGCTCCTCCCCTTCTTCCTTCTCCTCAGCCAACTTAACAGGAAGATGACAAGGATGAAGACGTTTATGATGATCCATTTCCCTTAGCGATGAGTAAATATATTCTCTCTTCCTTAATGATTTTCTTTACAACATTTTCCTTTCTGTAGCTTACTTCATTGTAAGAATATAGTATATAAGATATATAACGTACAAAATATATGTTAATCAACTATTGATGTTATCAGTAAGGCATCCAATCAAACAGTAGGCTATTAGTAGATAAATTTTCAGGAAGTCAAAACTTCCACATAAATTTTTGACTGCATGAGGGCTGGTCCCCCAACCCCAGCATGGTTCAAGGGTCACCTGTCATTTGTTTATTCAAAGCGGGATTGTTGAGACAATTTTAAAAAGCATCTAGAAAAGTGCTTGGCACATCACATGTTCTCAAACAGCCTACAGATAAGTTTTAACTTTTGTAACTTGGCTCTGAAGGCTGGTCTTAATGGCGGGTAAATAACATGAATATTACCACACACAATGACAGTTCCCTGTACATTTTGAGTAAATACTTAGATACACACGTGCAGTAATGCTAGAGGCTAAAACAGTGTTGTTGTGGACATTAAATTACTTGACATATGTAAAGGCTTAGCATACAGTCCAGCATATCATAGGAACAGAGTCATGTTATATATTTACTTCTCTATAAGTTATTGTTAGGAAATGCATACATGAGTATAATTGGATGTTAATCATGCCTTGATTTTATTTGCCGCCCCTGGTTGGAAAGCAGTATCTTGAAACTAAGCAACAGATGGTGCCTGGAATGTTGGGAGCATGCCCACATTAAGCCAGCAGGCCTACTTACCTGTGTCTCTTTGACTGGTTAGCTCATTGCCTGATAAGGTCAAGATACAGCAGGGATAATCCAGGCAAGTTAGTTCTAGGGCCTTGAACTAGAGTCCTAGTTTTCAACATACCATTTTGAAAACAATGAATTAAAAGGAATATCAAGTAGAATCCTTTACTGAGCTCACCACCACTGATCAACACCATGACATAAACAACCCATAACTCATGGCATGTTAATCACAGATCGGTATTGCCCTATAGCATCAGAGGCTCCTCTCCCTATCTCTACTAGATGAATAAGCAGACTGACAGACATTTTGGCAGCCAGAAGGCTTCAATATATAATTAGTTCATACCTTGCCCAGGGATACCACTGGACATGGTGCCAAGTGAATTTGGCATTGCTGTAGACTATAATGACATGTTTCCTAAGGTCTTAGATTGACTCAGATAATTGTCTTGAGCTGGTTCTGAGCTAGCTTACTTCAAGGTGCTAGGATTGGGAGTTGGATGGGTGAACAGAAAAACTCTGTTGAAGGCTTTGGATTCAGCTCTACGCATTTTATATTATTCAAGTGAACAATTAACCACATCACCTACCTTGGAGGCATATGCTTCATATAGCTGTTGTAATGTCCTTCCCAAAACACTCTTGGTGGTATTCATTAGTTGCTCACTCTTCCTCCAGCTTCTAGTTGTAGAGTCTAAGTACAGGTACTCTAACCCAGTCTCTTCACTTTCCTTGTTTTGTCTTTTAGGTAACTTATAAAAGGTAAACCTAACAGGCAAAATAATTATGAATTACTAACATTTATTGACTGCTTTCCTGTGGCAGTAGCTGTGTTACACACTTTAATATATCTCTCACATTTCATGGAAGGCCTCTAAGGAAAGGGATTTGCTCAAGTTCTCTGCCTCTTTCTTCACCCTTATCTTTGCTCCTCTCCAGAGAAGAAAATACAAATCTGATTGGATATATTCTAAGACCTTGGTTATCCTGGTGGGTGCAGTCCCTGAACTGGAAGTCCATGTATATTGAGAGTGGCTTTCTCTGTTGCTTCCATGGTCCATATGGCTACAGTGGGGAGCAGGCCAAGACTCAGACCATGCAATTGGCTGACTGGGTATGAGATTTGGGTTTGGGCTTCAGAAGAGGTAGAAGGTACTTTGAGCCTCTGTTCTAAGCTGCATTCTTCAGCTCAGTTTATCAGAATACTCTTTCTTGGTGATTCAGGGCCAAAACCAAGTAATTAAGGAGGCCCTTTCCTTCCTTTACTATTTGTTTATCTCCCTTGGCTATCTCACAGGGAGGAGAGGTAGCTCCGCCAAGGTAGTATTAAGGCATTATTGGATAACCTAGCTCAGGGTTTCTCAGTGTGCTCTATTCACATTTTCAGCCTGATCATTCTTTGCTGTGGGAGCTGTCCTGTGCATTGTAGGATCCCTGCCCTCTACCTATTAGATGCCAGATGCACTGCCAAGTTGTGACAATCAAAGTTATCTCCAGGCATTATCAAAAGTCCTCTGAGGGCAAAATTACCCTTGGTTGAGAACCACCTATCTAGCCAAATGCTTTCTAATAGCATGAACCCCACCATTAACTCCTAAACATTCACAGTGCACCAACCATTGTAATATACACACTATTACCATACCACAGTGTCACAAGCCCGTAAAAGCCGCACACTCTTCACTTGGTCCCCTTTGGTCTTATACTTTATTTAAGTGAACTCTTTCCTGCCCTGCTATGCTTTCTTACTCACAGGGTCAGGTCCTCACATGTGGCAAGAAACATGAAACTATTCTTTGGTGCTGACTTGATGGTCTCTTTCCTTGCCTTTTTCAGTAAATTTTAGCAGCTTGGCAACAAGTGCTTATATTTTCTCTAACAGACATTGCTAAGCAATATGTCCATTCACTTGTGGCAAAAATGATTTACCATATCAATCACAATTTGGTGACCCACCAGTGAAGGGTTTGTGAACTATCAGTATGCCATGGCACACCAGTTGAGAGCTAGTACTTTTAAACATTTTTCCAGGGTGACTACCTCTAATTATGCACTCAAGAGTCATGAATCTGTTTCTAGCCCAGACCTCTCTGCTGAGGCCTAGAGAAACCCAAATACAAAGATGTTCCAGAAACCTCTAACTCTGTATTTTTGAAACCAAGTTTATAATATTTTGCTCCAAATCTGCTCATCCCACACTATTAGGGAACATATTGACAAAGTCCAAGAAACAGAAACCTAAAATTATTTCTTAACATCTCCCGTTCTCCTACCTGCTGCAGCCTGTCTACCACCAAGTCTTCTCAGCGTGTCCTTCTTTCTATTCCCACAACCATTTCTTTAATTGAGGTGCACACCTCTTCTCACCTATAATTCTGTGAAAATTCTCCTTGGCTCTGTGATTCTAGGCTGCTCCCCATCCAGCCAAGCCTCACAATACTGCCAGTGGGCTTTCTAAAGTGCAAATCTGACCATTCACACCCTTGCTTGAAGTTTTTCAGTAGCTCCCTTTCAACGTCAAGTTCAAACCTTGTAGCTCAGCACACCCTGGCCCTCCCCACCTCTCTAACCTCAACTCTGGTCAACTTCCTGTATTCTCCTGAAGTTCCAGAAATACCAAACTAGTAGCAATTCCCAACTTCCCATGTTGCTTCTTGCTTCTTTTCCTCCTCATTCATTGGCCTGAGATACCCTTGCATATCCATTCTTTTTCTAGCTACTTCGTAATTGTTCTTAAAACTTAGCTCAAAAACTATGTCTTCAGAGAAGCTTTCTAGGCTCTCTGCTCCCTAGTGTTCCACTTATGCCCTTACCACATAACTGTGAGGTCCTCAAGGGTAGGAACCATGTTTTGTCCACATTTTTATTTTCGAAACTCCACACACAGCTTGGTTGAGCTCAGTAACTGCTGGAAGACAGACTAGTTGCCTTGAGTATATCAGTGTTCTCTCGCCTGAAGTTTACACAAAAAGCTTAACACCAACCGTAATGGCAAACTTAAATATCCCAGTTAAAGAGTGAAAACGTGATTAAAGCTTTGGGAATACCCATGACTATGATGCAACACAGTATTTAATGTCTTTGACACTGTTCAACAGGCCAGTGACCTACCTCCCACTCACGGCAACAGCTGCCTGTGCTGCCAAACAAAACAAGGTTAGGCAAGCAGTGCTGTGTGCGACGGGTGCCCTTCTTCTCATAAGGAGATGTGCATGCTCCATTTTCAGAAAAAAGTCATCTGCCTTCTCTACTCTGTCAGTCTTTAAAAGGATGTTGGACGTGTTCTGTTAGGAAAAGCCACGATGTAATTAAAAGAAATTGCCAGCTGACAGAAGCTGTCAGCTCAATCCCATTTCTGTGGCTACCAGCCTTGCCCGGCTGAGAACAGTGAATCAGGCCCAACAGGGGCTGCTCAGCTCTTTCACAGGGGGAACTCCCTCACTCAGAAGCCTACCCCTGCCTGGGAGTTTGCCCCATTTGCACACTTTAACTTCCTTTATTTGTAAAGGAAGGAAAGAGAATGGACTTTCCCCTTAGGAACTTCTCAGTGAGCCAGGCTGACTCCCATACTGAGGCTGTTTGCATGCAGCAAACCTTTCATTTCATTTACCTACCAGTCCACAGCTTTCCCTTCTTCATTTCTGCATGAAATTGTTGCTGTCCCCAGCACCCCAAAGAGGCCAAGGAAGAGCAAAGCAAAAGATGTTCTTAGAAGTCTTGCCGTCATTTTCTGTTTCATTTATTTCATGCCACAGCAGAACACTTTCTTCATAGATTGTGGACACTTTCTTCATAGATTGTGGGATCTGAGTTTCAAGGTGCTCTCAGGCTGTGCTGGCTCTGACGTTTGATTCCATTTACCTGTTCTGTTCGCTGTTCGGGGCATTTTCAGAATGGGATGGATCCCATGTAATTGTGCGATTCTGTCACAACGTGTCAGCGTGACTCTGGATGCCTTTGTGCTGAATTGTTAACTGCTTTGCAAAGTCATCAGAAAGTTCTGCAGAAACAAAGGGAAATATAGTTAACTCTTTGGAGTGAACATTGTGTTGTATAAAATTCAGCGGGCAGGGGAACTTCATTTTAATAAATAGATATTAAATTAAACATATTTCATGTCTTCCCCTCCTGATTAGACTCAGTGAATGAGAGCAAATGCAGGTGGTTCATACGTTAAACAGAAATGATAAAACCTTATGTCTTAGTAATAATTAGGATCTGACACTTATAATAAATTTCTTTCTTAAGGAACCAGTTGCTAAGCAGTACTTTAGAGGGTTTCTACAAAGTGACTGTAAATTTAACTGTATTTTACCAAAGATGTTTACATATTCTCTCTGCTTCCCTGGTTTTGGCCACTCAGTGTGCTTTACTTTAAGAGGCCTTGGTGTCCACTTAGCTGCTATGCAATAGGTAAACATATTGATCACCTACTCTTCAGGTTAATAAAAAGTGTTACAAACATCTATTTTGCCCAAACTATGCTTTCTAATTCTTGAAGCTGAATCTGAAGTGGAAAACCAAGAGAAAATGGCCCACTACCATAACAACTATAAAAAGGTCAGACCAATTTCTTTGTAAAGTAGGGAAGGAGTATATAGACATATGAAAATAATTTATTTAATGCCTACTTTTGAATCAATTATTAAAATTGCTATTATAATCAATAGCAGTTTACCTCATGCCTAGAAATAATGCTGCCCCTAATCTCTCTCTCTCTGATAATCACAATGATAACTATAATAGTTCCAGATCAGAGGATCCAGACCAGACTGAACCCTTGTAAATCAGATTACCTGTATGGTTGTACTAGAACTGTTCACAATTCTCAGGATTCCTAGAAAAGGGGAGGGCTTGTGTCTCTATTTCTCCTAAGACAGAGTTTTGGGAGGAGGATTCTGGACCACTTGCCCAGTTACCTGTGGAGCCTGCAAAAAAGGCAGAATTCTAGGACTTATTGCAAACCTGCTACATCAGATTCTTCCAACTGGACTCAGGAATCTATATTTTTAATAAGCTTATGGGTGATGCTCGTGTACCCTACATTTTGAAACTCACTGCCATGAGGCCAAGACTATGCTGTATTTGGCAGGTTCACAGTTTTCTCTAGGGAGCAGACTAAATTGGTTAAATGAAGAAATATTTTCCTTACCCATTCCTCGATGGATATTATTATTATGATTATTTTTGAGACAAAGTTTCACTCTTATTACCCAGGCTGGAGTATACAGTACTCATCTTGGCTTTGGAATCCGTCCACCTTGGCCTCTCAAAGTGCTGGGATTACAACATGAAGCGACTGCACCTGGCCTCATTTTGTTTTATATATTTTCTTCTTGTGTTCAGAAAAAAAAGGACTTCAGCAACCCCAACAGTTTTGTCAATTTTTTTTTTTTAATTACTAGCTGGGTGTAGTGGCTTATGCCTGTAATCCAGGCCGTCCCCAAACTATGGCCCACAGGCCGCATGCGACCCCCTGAGGCCATTTATCCAGCCCCCTGCCAGCACTTCAGGAAGGGGCGCCTCTTTCATTGGTGGTCAGTGAGAGGAGCACAGTATGTGGCGGCCCTCCAACAGTCTGACGGACAGTGAACTGGCCCCCTGTGTAACAAGTTTGGGGATGCCTGCTGTAATCCCAACACTTTGGCATGCCAAGGCAGGAGGATTGCTTGAGCCCAGGAGTTCATGACCAGCCTGGGCAACATAGCAGGACCTTATCTCTCTACATACAATTAAAAAGAAATTAGCTGGGCATGGTGGCACACATTTGTAGTCCCAGCTACTCAGGAGGCTGAGGTGGGAGGATTGCTTGAGCCCAGGAAGTTGAGCTGCAGTGAGCCATGGTGCTGCCACTGCACTTCAGCCTGGGTGACAGAGCAAGAATGTCTCAAAAAAATATAATATATATATATATATATATATATGGGGTGTGTGTGTGTGTGTGTGTGTGTGTGTGTGTGTGTGTACAGAGAGAGAGAGACATTTACTCTTCTCTGCTAAAGTAAAAACAGGAGATGGAGTCTCACTCTGTCACCTAGGCTGGAATGCAGTGGCATGATCTCAGCTCATTGCAACCTCTGCCTCCCACATTCAAGCAATTCCCAAGTAGCTGGGATTACAGGTTTCCACCACCATGCCAGGCTAATTTTTGTATTTGTAGTAGAGATGGGGTTTTGCCATATTGACCAGGCTGGTCTCAAACTCCTGACCTAAGATAATCTGCCTGCCTCAGTTTCCCAAAGTGCCAGGATTACAGATGTGAGTCACTGCACCTGGCCAAAATAATTTTATTTATTTACTTATTTATTTATCTTGTGAGACTTTTTGGTATTAGAGCTAAAAACAGATACATACCAGGAATAGGATTCACTGATGTATTTACAGAATGTAAGCAACTTGTTTTCTGTCATGTAGGGCTAACGACAGTTTGTTGAATAAGATTTAAAATTATTCCTATTGTCTTCTCCTTATTACACGCTTAGCACAGTGTCTGGTAATAGTAAATGATTCATAAATGTTAGCTAAGATGATTCTTATTACAACCTGAGCTTCTCTTGTAAGGTGGTTGGGGGACATCTGTATTAGAATGATATTTGCTAAATCCAATTTTATTTCAAGGTCTGGAAAGACACCGTTAAGTTAGTTTCTTTGAGATGTCATTTTCAATAAACTTCCTTATCTCCCATTGTTGCTAACCTGATCATGATTGTCAGTCAACAACCTTTCTTATATAATTACTACTGTGTCTAACACTGTACCAGACTTTGAAGATCTTCAGGGATTTCAACATTACCTAAACCCCAGAGTCCAGCGTGTTTCAGTTTTTACTAAAAACAGCAAAGTAATTTGGAAAGAAACTTATGAATTTGGTGGATGAAGAAAATGCAAACTGTATAGAATGTTTTTCATAATATTATCTGCTTTTGAAGCCAAAGTAGTATAATAATATGTAAATACTGTAGTTCCTTCATAATCTGATTGCCTCTAAAAACAGTGGAAAATGCCCTCATTGTAACTTGGTCAAGTACTATATAGAGTACAAGTAAGAATTCTTAGCTAGGTAATGGCTTTTAATTTCATGATTGAAGTTTTGTAGTCACCCATTTATTCTGGAAAATCTCAATCTTGAGCTCGTCAAATAGTGCCTCTTCCACGTTCTCTTTATTATGTATTTCGAGAACATTTTATGTCTTGTTCATATATTCTAGCTCCTTGTATGTCAGCATTAATTCTTATGATTATTTATTTGGACTGTCTTCCAGTTCTCTAATTCTCTTTGGCAGCATTAATCTGTTACTTAATCTATCTCTTCCAAATAACTAATTCTTTTAAAAAATATTTTTTTAAATCTTTATTTATTTTATTTAATTTTTAAAATTTTTTTTTGAGATGGAGTTTCGCTTTTGTTACCCAGGCTGGAGTGCAATGGCGCGATCTCGGCTCACCGCAACCTCCGCCTCCTGGGTTCAGGAAATTCTCCTGCCTCAGCCTCCTGAGTAGCTGGGATTACAGGCATGCACCACCATGCCCAGCTGATTTTTTGTATTTTTAGTAGAGACGGGGTTTCACCATGTTGACCAGGATGGTCTCGATCTGTTGACTTCGTGATCCACCTGCCTCGGCCTCCCAAAGTGCTGGGATTACAGGCTTGAGCCACTGCGCCCAGTTAAAATCTTTATTTTTTATTTGTACATTGACAAATTATACTTATATATATTTTACTTCTTTTTGAGTTATGTTTAATATGTTTCTTAATTCACTTATTAATGCATTTTTACAAGTTCTATTGTTTATTTTTTCAAATTTACTTTGTCTTTCTTATGGTTTTGTTTCTTGTTCATACACCCAATCTTCTCTTCTATTTCTGTAAAAATATTAAATATATTATATTTTTATATCTTATTCAAATGTCTGAAGTCTTTGCAGATCAGGCTTTTCTATTTGTTATTTCTGAAGCTCTTTCTCATAATACCTTGGTATTGTGTGTACTTTAGATTTTCGGCAATGAGTTCAGATTCTGTTAGTATTTTGGGGGATTGAGATAAAGTTGTGTTTCTCAAGAACCTGTTCTCTACTGGTTCATCAAAGTTCAGTCATTCTGTGAGGATTCCTGGGAGTCAGGATGCTGGCTTTATTTATTTATTTCCAATAGCTTTTTGAAGTAGTATTTACATACCATAAAATTTAAATGTTAAAGTTCAGCTTATTTTTGCTCATATTTTTACAGGACTGTTGATGGATTGAGTAAAATCTAGAAATTGACATGCTGAAGGAAAAAGTTGATACACTTGTTGTGGGAGGATGGGGAAAGGATTTGAATTATTTTGATGAAAAAGAGTAAGACAAGCAAATGACTCAAGTATTTACAGACTAAAGAATCATTGTTGAGAAATGTGGTTAAAGGAAAACATAAATACAATAAGTGGAAGAGGACCAGAAAATTATGTTTGATTAATTCCTACTCATCCATTAGGTTGCTTTGAGGATGCCAATTTTTCCTGGAAGCCATCCTTGATCTCCCCCAATCTGGCTTAGGTGTCCCCACAATATATTCCCAGAGCTCACTGTATTTTCTCAATTAGAGTAATTACATGATGTGTTACTAATCACTTGCTTATCTTTCTGAGTCTCCCTCTAAAGAGCAGGGGTTGGAAAACTCCTGTGGACCAAATCTGTCTATTTTTTGTAAAGTTTTATTTGAATACATCCACACCCATTCATTTATGTATTAACATATAGATGATTTTATGCTACAGTGGCAGAGTTCAGTTGCAACAGAGATCCCACAGCCTAAAAAGCATACAAATTAACTTCTTGATTCTTTACAGAAGTTTGTTCTAGTCTATGAAGCCAGAACAGTGCCTGCCTTGTTTATACTGTTGCATCTCTAGCACATACCACAGTGCTTGTCACCTAGAAGGAGCTAAATAAATACAAGTGAATATATAGATTGAATGAAAAAGTTTTGAGATCCTGCTGTGATTGAGACAGAGGGAAAAAAACAAGAAAAAGTTTTCAGAGACATCTATTTTGGGGTTATATGGAAGTCAGAATGAATTTAATCAGAAAATATGTAAAAGTGAGTATGCAGTAGGTAAAAATCCCATTAGAAAGAATTTTATCATGATGTTTATAAGTCAGAGAGGCAGTTAAGCATAGAAAGAAGAATCAGCCAGACCCGGGGTCCACGGCTGGCTCTGCCTCTCACTTGCCATGTGGTTTCCATCAAATGATCAACATCAACCATACTGAGCTTCAGCTTCCTTTTCTTTTCTTTTTATTTATTTATTTATTTATTTATTTATTTATTTATTTATTGAGCTGGAGTGTCTCTCTGTCGCCTAGGCTGGAGTGCAGTGGCATGATCTCGGCTCACTGCAACTTCAGCTTCCTTTTCTAAGGGTGGGGCATGTGATTTCTACCTTCATAGAGTGCTCTCGGGATTTAGTGAGACACTATGTGCACAGCCCCTGTCATAACTGAGTCTCATAAATGCTGGTGCCTTCTCACCTTGTTTCCTTTTCTTCCATAACAAAGTAACTTTCTTTTCCTTGCAGTAG